TAGCATCTCTCTCAAGAGAGCACTTTTCCAAATTGTAAGACAAGTGACAGCACCGCCTCGAATTTCCTGAGCAACTTGATTTATATGAGCAAACTCTTGTACTTTGTAATTCAGCACCTTTTCAAAATATTGTATTTTGCTGGAATGGATTCCTCTTCAGGAAGACCCCATTACAAAGAATTCTCATTTTGGAAAATTATTTTTATATGCTATCTTCCCACAATACCGCCTTGTTATTTACAATACTTCATCAAATAAATACTGAATTGCCTTAAAAGGCAGGTGAAAAATATAGTTATTTCTGAGAAAGGGCATTTGGCTTTCAGTTTATAGCAAGAGCTGAAGTTACAGCCTAAGGGGATTTGAGAGATTAATGCAATCAAAAAATTTGACAGCAAAAAATGCTCTCCCAAATTTAATAGCTAAAAACTACCTTAGTAATTATGGCCTGAAATTCAATGGAACAAAAATGTGTTCTAAGTATATGATGTGTAATCATTTATTTTCTCAACTGTGTACAGTTTTGAATCCGTGCTCTTTTGTGAAGGAAATGTCACTCAAACCCTGTCATTCCATACTTCTATTCTTAACATATGAACCTCAGCAATGAATAATGGGACACTAAGTTGCAAACATTAATTCTGTTCTCACCTGCAATGCTGAAATCAGCACAGTACTGGCTTCCTATGCTTGAAGAGTTACTCCAAAAAATTTTTTTCTAGTTTGCTAAGGATACATAAAAGTTTTTCAAATCTACTAGGGACATGTTTCTAGACAATGCTCACAAATACATAAGGAAAAGAGAATGGCTTTTAAGAACCAGATGGTTCCACAAATCAACATGATATCTTCAATGACTCTAAAAGTCTGTGGCATCCAATAAAAACTTAAACATGGCTCTATCACAGAAAAGTTTTCCTGTTTCTTTTAAAAGCAATACTATAGAAATACTTGTTCATCAACATATCTTCCATTTTAAGCAAATGTTTCTGTTTTGGTTGGTCTTCCCCTTTTTTGTTAATGAGTCTTGGTAAAACACTTAAAAAACAATGATTGGCTTTACTGCACACAATAGAACCTTTGAAAAAATCTTTTATGTAATCATAGAAAAGGAGGGCAGTCAACTTAATTATTCAGGAAGTGATCACCTGAAAAACCTGGCCAGGAAATTCTCACTCTTCCTACCAGTCTTTTTTGGCCTGACATTCAAATGTCAGTTTGCCACTGACATTCACAGATTGAGAAGCGACTTGAAATGAAGTATCTTTGCACGTATTGGTCACCCACAACTGAGTGGGAAGAGGCCCAAAGCTCCTGATGGCAAAGAAGTCTGGGGATCACTTGCGAATTTTTATCTCTAAGGGAGAGTTGACAGTTGTTCACATACAGGATATACAGGACACTGACTTTGTGGGAACCAAGCTAATTTAAGGCAATTCTGCTCTTTATAGACATTGCTGACATGAAGAGCAGGTCTCATCAGAAAAGTGATTCTGTTAAAGTGAGAATTTCTCTATTTTTATCTCCTCACCTTCTCTAGAGTTAAATTTCAGCATTTCTAACAAGTTAAATAGTAGGAGCAAAACAGCCTGGACTCTTCCTTTTAATTATCTTGTATGTTATTATGGATAAAGAGGCTCTTCCACCAGGAATTTGGATGACACTGTGTCCCATGCAACATTATCAGGACAGTCTCCAATTTGTATCTCCTGCCCACATGACCTATCATGGGCTATGGAGGAAAAAATACTATCAACAGTAAATAAGCATTTATGGCTTTAAAACTTAGAGCTACCACCAATTATGAGGAGAAAATGATACTGTTTTCTATAATCACTTCTCTGATTGTGAGCAGTAATGGACAAACTACATTAGAAATCTGTTTTATGTTTCTAAAAGTCAGTGTTGTCACAGTATGGCACAGTATATACACTGAAATCCAGCTGAACAGTGTTCTCTTTAAAATCAACATTCCCCACCTAAATACTACTTTTCCCAAAGGGTTTTTAAGTCTTTGAATTCGAAGACTTAAAAAAAGCCAAATATACAGCTGTCTTGCTCCTTTATTAGACCAAATCACCAGTTATCTTTCAAGAAAATCATCACTGAGCAAATGAGTAAGATTGGTATTCTTCAAACTGATTTTGATATGATGATATAACTCTTTAAAAATCAAGGCCTAGCCACTTATGTGGTAAACCGAATGCACCATTATTAGAGTAGGTGGTTTCAAAGAACAATTTGGCACAAGACAAAACTTAAGGATTTTGGACAGTATTAAAGAAAATAATTATCAAAGTTAATTTTTTAAACTGAAAAGTTCTGACACTGAGGAAAAGGCATAGGCAATATCAGTAATGAATTTATTCATCACCCAGTTAGGCTGCACAGTAGAGAAGTAAAGGGAAATTGGGTCCAGTTCATAATTTTCTGGAGTGAGTTCAGTGACCCAAGGTCACACATTCTGGAATACACTGATTTAGATCCAAGTGGCCACTGCTATTCTGAAAAAAGCATTCATCCTGGAGCATCTATCCATTTCTTTCTTTTCTGATTTACATGTATTTATGATTAAACACCAGTCTTTTTGTAATTCATTAGTCTATTGCTGGTTATTGTAAAGTCACTTAAGAAACAGTAATTCAATGGTATACAAATTCAATTTCTAAAAATTTCAATGTTCTTTTAAATTACATATAGTAACTCTCCAGTTACCCCAAAAAGTCAAATTTTTTTCGATTGAGAACATTTAATCTGACCCTTATCTAACCTTGCTTCTATGCAACAGCTCACAGTTAGTTGGGAGGAGGGGGTGTACTTGTCCAGAAACATTATGATCTAAGGATCCATAACACTGTGCTCATTCAGCAACACTGGGGTGAATGGGAGAACTGGTATTCTCTGGCCTACAGGAGCAGAGGTAAAAACAGGAAGATTTTTCCAAGGCCAGATATGTTAGTTTTCATGATAACATTAAATTGCATGTGGTCCATAAGTTGGGAGAGGAAAAAAATAATTGCTTCCACAGTTATATAAAAATGAAAAAGTTCAAAGTAGAGAACACAGTGAAGAGCGTTTGGCATTTCCTTAATATACAATTGTTAGTTGCTTCTATATTTTCAAAGATAATTATTACATTATTTGAATAACATTAAGAAGATTTAACTGGCTGAGTTTGAATTCTGTCTCCTTATTCATAGGGAAAAGCATTATTCTGATACTCTTTTAAAAATGTTCGCTTTACAAAAAATAAAATAAAAAAATTTTAAAATACTAATCTTTTAAAAACCTGAAAAAAAAGGGAACACCTTTTCAATACAGATGCTGAATGGGGTGTCACAAGAGAAATATCACCTTTGGTCACTCACTAAGACAGGTGAAACTTACCATCTGACTATATATTAAGTAGCCTGTAATTCCGTGAATGAAATACCTCAATAAACATTTTACAGTAATAAATATGATTGGATGAGGTACATGAGAAGCAGGGAAATGAATTTTCAAAGTAAAACCAACCATTGTATAAGATAGAAAAATAAAGATTTATAAAATAAAAATATGGCAAATTAAGTTACCCATTTGCCGAATTATCAAATAAAAATAAACTTTTTTTAAAGCTACCATAAAAAAACTTTTTAAAACATGAGACAAAATCACAGGGCAGACAAAGGAAATATAGCATTGTATCAGTCAGCAAGGCCTAAGTTTTGGGTATTGAAACCACTCTCTGGAATTTGATTTAAGGCCAGGACCTCTATTTTGTCTGTCCATGTTTAGAACAAAGAATTTTCTTCAATTCTTTTATCACAGTCATTCAAAGTTCTGTCATTTTAAGTTTCTTATATTTCTCTGAAATGACTAGATACCCCCTTAGGGTTTTGTTTTTTTCTAGATTACTGTTTTCCTAAACTTAACTCTTTAATACCTTTTACCTAAGTTCCCGAAATCCAAAAAATTTATGCAACTGAAGATCTTTCTCAAAATGAAAGACCCCAAACCTCTCTAAGATAGTATTCTCAATAGTTTCCTGAATACTGTCTGACCTTAAAGACTAGCTAGATATAAGGCAAACAGAATGCAGTTCCCTGTGAGAGAAGAATGGATTAACAACTTTTTCTCTAGTCACCTATTTATTTTTCCCTAAACAACCCATACTAAAATGCCAAAAACATCAGATTCCTACCATGAAAAATAACAGCAAGTCAAGTTTAAGGTATATACATGTATGTATGTAGATATATATGTGTTGTGTGTATTTATACATATCTTGATTGCCATTTATGTGAACTGATTAGTATGGGGAAATAAGCATTTCCATTGGGTTAGAAGCTAAACAGAGACTTAAGAGTTCTTGAAGAGAGCTTTAAAGGTCTTAGGCAAAGGAATTCAGTGGCTATCATTAACAACTGCAGAGAAACAAATATAAATCAACTTCATGTAGAATTATTATCATTGTCAGATACACAAGTTATTTTTGAGAGCTTATCAACAAATACTGCCATGTTTTATAAGAAAAAAAGAAATTTTAATCTATGGGTAGAGAGAATGATGGCATCACCACTCATAGAAACCTCTCCCAATTCCATTTTCCTATATTCTTTAAGTGCATGTAAACAACAGAAGGGACACAAAATTTTAAAATTTTAGTTGTCTTTGTGGAGACCCGAATTAAAATTTTTCACAGAATTAAGTTTCTGCCAGTAAATACCAATGTATGGCCTCCTGCCCAAAGGCTTCAGAAAGCCTGCTGTTGAGGGGAGCAGTAAGAGAGAATGTATTAGAGAATGACATCTGGGCCAATTCTCCCAAGAGGGCATAAAAGGGTACGCAAAACCTCTGTAATTCATGTAGTCAGAAACATATTTCAACTGTTCCAAGTGTGGTGTGTTTTTTTGGTTTTTTTGGGATACTTTACGGATGCGATTTTTTTCTCTTTTCCTGAAAAGTACAAACAAGCAAAGGCTCTATCTTTCAATATTTCTTCTAATGCACAACAAAAATTTATTCTGCATTGTATCCAAATATGTTTTACTTTAATGATGATTTCTAAAAAATTCTAACTGCTAATTAAAATCTAGCCCCTAGATACCAATATTCCATACCTAAGGGAAAAAAATGGCATTTTGCAGAGCTCTTAGGTACTACATCACAGGAAGCATATGCCATGTAGAGGTGGCCAATCTTCGGAAGCTAGATTTTCTTGACTGCCCAAGTGATCAGGAATAACCAAAACATTTTAAATAAATTAAGACTTTTTATGGCCAATAAAACATATGAGGCTAAATCCCAGGAATACAAACACAGGAAGAAAAAAAAAAATAAGCATGGAATGTATTCTGTATCATCATCTAGCAGTATCTCCTATAGTGAGTCCATTTTCAAGGCAGATTCCTAGGTTTTTACTGCTTATAATGGAAACCTGGAGACAGGAGGAGAAAAAGAAGAAACACCATTAAGGAAAATCTTTAAAACTTTCTCAATTTTGCTTCCTGCTCAAGCAAAATAATTTATCTTTATTTCTATGCATTTCAAATAGTTCATGCTTTCTTTGTTCTTGATTGTAAAATATTTATACATGGAAACAATGTGTTATTTCAGTATTATACATCAATGTATGACAAATGTAAAAACACATTACTTTATTAAGTAATGTGTGTATGTAATTTGAGGGAAATAAGTCATGAGCTACTTCCAGTTAAACAATGGAATCTAAAAAGGTCACCAACTGATATAAATTATAGCTATTCTGGTAATGTAGACTTAATCTTGCTTTTTAAATAATGTCTTTTGTCTTACTCTCAATCCTCAATGAATGTCAGAATGGAAGAAAATAGGGCAAGGGAAGTTATTGAAAAATTACAAATGTCTGGGATCCTTCTTCTCCCAGAAATTCTGATTTATTTGGTTTAGAGTGGCACCTGTGCATTGGTATGTTATAAAGAAAAGGAAATTTAAAGAAATTTGGAAAAGCTATCAGCCTTTGGAAAAGAGTAATAAAAACCATCACCAAAGAAATCTTTAAAAACCATAACAAAAAATAAACATCAAGAAGACCTAATATTTACAAAGTCTACTGCAATCTGCTTTCATGTATTTTACTTATATAATCCTGATAGCTATTAAAAACACCTCCATTTTTAGATCAAGAAACTAATAAAAGAAACTATACCTTTTTTATTTTCTCATTTTATCACTGTCATAAAATACACATATGTGAATGCATTAGCTTAGAAGAGCAACTGTAATCAAATTTTTATTTTAAAGGTCTGATCCAACTTATTTCTCATTTTTTTGCCCCGTTTTTCTTCTTTTTTTAAAATTTATTTATTTATGCATACAAGAACCGGGGTACAGGCCAGAGGGATGGGGGATTGGGGGTGAGAGGAGTCACCAGAGACAGAGTGGGGAACAGAACAGGCAGACCAACCGAAACACACTGTTGAGGGGAGCAGCGGGTGAGGCAGAAGAGGTCTGCTATGCCATGTCGGTAGCTCCCTGGCCAGCGGGGGATTGAACTCCTGCAGCAGAGACTGTGGACAGCTTCATAGTGTGCAGTGCTCAACCCCTTGCGTCACCAGGGAGGCCCTGCTATTTTTCTTCTGTACAAAAATTTTGTGTGGTGTGTATATGTGTATAAGTCTAATTAACAGTCATGGACACATGGCTGTAAAACAAGAGCCACTACAGGAAAAGCCCAGTAGATAAAAAACAGGGATACAGTTACCCTTTGAGGGTAACTGATAGGCCACCAGTTTTTTTTAATAAATGAAGACTACTGTACTGATTCACTGAGAGGAAAGTAACTTATTTTTCCATTCCAGTGATCTACAGAATAGGATTTGATTTTCCCACCATAGTTTGAAGATTAGTAAAAAAAAATCCTAAACTTGACTGAATATATTTTTCTTACCTTTATGTGAGGATTCTGATTTTGAGAAATGACGTGTAGAACTATGCTGGTTTGTTGCATGAGTGAAATCCAAATCCTCAGCTTCTTTCATGGTAGGTGGTGGTGGTCTGAAGTGGAAATCAGAAAGTTAAGAGAGACTAAAGTAGTGGTGACTACAATTCCATATCTCATTGGATCACAAGGTGAAAACATTTCTAGCAGAAATGCACAGCCAGAATGTTTCAGAATTCTCATTTTAGTTCCTGGCCAAGTATGTGACCTTGGGTAAATTACTTTATCTTAGTGTTCTTTTTATGTATATAATTCAATTAAACCAAGTATTTTCAGAATAGCCAGTAAGTGTAAGACACTGTGCTGAGGGACAGAGAAACAAAAACTAATGAGATATGATGGCTGCCATTAAAGAGAATTTCACCGTTTTGTTTGTTTTTTAAAAAAAGGAGAGGAGAAAAAGATAAAAGGGGAAAAAAGAAACAAGGATAGTTAAGGAAGGAAGGGGGAAAATTAGCTGAATGGGAGGAACTTTTAGGAGGAAGAGAGTAGAAGGGACAGTGGTAGAACAAAGCTCCTTACTCCACTAGGTGGCGAAGCAGAGCTTAGAGAAGGGAAGGTTTGTCACACTATGTGGAACAATCCATGTCAAAAGAAGACAAATGTAAAAACACTGGGAATTGTTTACTATTCCAAACTTTATTAAAGTACGAAACACAGATTTTTGCAGACATATGACATCAATAAAGAGCAAGAACAAAATCTCCTTTTTTGGTTATTTCTCAAAGGTATGCTCAAATTCTGAAGGCAACCAAATGTGGTTAAGATCCATTAAATATGTAATCACTTGTAGGCTGTTTTGTATTTTACCTATATAATCTGGAAGGCATAACTATTCTGAATTCTATAAAATTATGACTAGATTGGTACAATGGGCTCTGTCATGTAATGATAAAGCACATGTTTTCAAATGTTCTCACCCTGTCCCTACACAGTAGGGCTCTCCCTCGTCCTAGTCCTCTCCTTAGGACTATGCTATAGTTTTTACATAGATGATTTTGAGATATTAACTTTCAGAACAAGTCTGCTCAGTAGCTACCATATACATATTAACTTTCAGAGTAAGTCTGCTCGGTAGCTATCATACACATATTGATATTTTAGAGATAGATCAGGTTACATGAGGTGAGCAATCTGTCTAAGTTCATACAGTAGCTGTTAACTGACAGAGTCAGGGCTCAACAAACTCTACTGTATTTCAAAAAACAGTGCTCTTAACTATTATACTATGCACAGCTACACAGATGTGTATTCTTATCATACAGCATCAGCATTCAAAAGTACATTTGGCATACATTTTTTACATTTTCATGCACTGTTCATACACAGATAATTAATGCATAATAATGTGGCCTATATCTTGTTTTTCTCTTTAAACTACTGTTTATAAATGTTTGCAGTAAATCTCATGTTTTACTTTCAATTACCAATGATATTTATAACATTGTTACTTTTTAAAAAGTAGGGTAGTACTTGGTAAAAAGTTGAGATAAAACAATCTGACTCCTAAATTAAGAAATCTAACTTCAAATAAAAAGCAGCAAGTGGCTGCTAAATTAACAACTTAGGTCTAGGGGGGTGGGGTCAGGGAAGGGAGGGATTGGGGTTTAAATAAGGGGGTTGCAATTATATGGGGAATATAAAAATAAAATTTATTTAAAAAAATAAAATAAAATATTTTAAGTTCAATTAAAAAAAAAAGAAAGATGCACTGGGTCTGGTAGAAAAAAAAAAAACAAAAAACTTAGGTTTAAAAAAAAAAAACAGGACTGGTAATCAGGATGGCAGAATCTATTCTTTACTCTCTTGTAAATTTCATTAGGCAATCAAAAATCAGAAAAGCAAAAGTCAAGTGATACTTCAAAAAACTACATGATCACTGTTTCACCTTCAAATCATCAATATGAAAAAGGATGTTAAGGCGTAAAACAAAGCACAGGGCAGCCAACAAGGATCTCCCAGGACCTCCACAGAAGGATAACCTGATCAATCTACAATGTCCTCAATTCTCTTGGTGTACTGTTTTGTTCAATTTTCGTTAACAGAGGAAAAATCCAGTCTATTGCTTCTGGGATTGCTATCAAATTACTCTGTTGCATTGGAGACCATTGTTTTGAAGTTAAGGATAATCATATCCAAAGTTGGAAAAATACTGCTAACAATAATGTTTCATAGTATTTGATGTATTTGATTCATTACCTGTTTCCTATTCTTATTAGCGACACAAATGCATTTTAGAATTTTCTCAAACTTTCATTAAGAAGTCTCCTCAGACACCCAAGACTAGGTTAAGTGTCTCCCTATGTTCTTATAAGACCCTGGACTTGTTATACATAGCAATCATAATCATATGTGTAATGATTGCAAATTTCATGAGAGCAGGAAATAGTTTCCTCTTGTTCAATGCTGCTTACTGCCACCTTAAGCTGGTGGCAATCATTCAGATGCTGAATAAATATCTGAAGAATTAATAGAGTTTAGTGTATTTCACATTCATGAGAATGCTACAGGAACTAAAAGAAACTGTTTTTGAATCCTTAACTTTTTCTAAGGGAAAAATGCAAATAAAATTCCAATCCCATACTTAAAAGAATTGGGAACTTGGGTGAAAACATTTTCCAAACTACAGAGTTGGAATTACTTCAGGTTGACTACTGGTTCTCTTATTTCCCTAGAGAGCAGAAAGTCTTGTCATAGCAAAGAAATTTATTTTTCACCATGAATATTATAACTCTACATGAAAATTTGTTTCCCTTCTATTACTAGTGCTACTATACTGAAGTAAATAAACATCTTAACCTAGGAGGCTCCACATTTTCCAACTGTTGAAGCCATATTTTCCCCAGGTTAAATGTGAAAAAGAAAATCATATACTCTAACCAGAAAGCTTACATTCTGCTCCTAGTTGCAAAAGACATTTATAAGAAGAGGGTTTACTTTTTAAGCATGAAACACAGATTTCATAAAATTCTTACTAATTTTTGTTTTGGCATATGTAATTTTTCTAAAAATCATATTTATTTAAGATTATTTTTATTTATTTATGCATATAAGAACTGGGGTGCAGGCCAGAGACAGAGTGGGGAGTAGAACAGGCAGATCTATGGAAATACACTGTTGAGGGAAGCAGCTGGAGAGACATAAGAGGTCTGCTGTGCCATGTGGGTTAGCTCCCCGGCCAGGGATTGAATTCATGACACAGTGGATGGTGATAGTTTGATAGCGCTGAGACTATAATGCCTGCACCACCAGGGAAGCACACTAAAAATCACATTTAAAGACATTCCTCTCAAGTGGAAAAAAAAAAAGACTTCACATTTCTACCAGTCATAGGTAAGTTTTCATTAATTTTTATAACAGCCATATTTAACACAGGATCATTCAATGATTCATTCTTTCTATACATAAAAGTATCTTTACATTTCAGAAGCTTGTTTTCAACTTTAATCTTTTAAAGTGGCCACTCTAGACTATTATTTCATATATGCCGTCAAAGTTATTTGTGTTCTACAGAGTCCAAGGGCTTAGAAGATTGCAAAATAACCTTAAAGATGATTTTAATTCATTTGACTGGAAAAAGCATAATAAACTCCACCTATTTACACAGTGGGAATGTATTAGTCACTTTTTATTTTGCTTGGACACTGCAAGGGATATAAATAAAACTGAACTATGAGATTCTAAAATCTGCTTTAAAAGATGTCTGGCATGTGTTTAACCAAAAGCTCTAAGAACCAATTTAATAGAATTAGACAGACTGTACTACTACTGCTATCCTAAAAGCTTTATAAATGTGATATAATTTTGAAGGGTTTCTATCTTCTAAAACCCATGAGTTTAAAAATAGGCTTTTTAAGAACACTAAATATGTTCATTTTACGGTAACAAGTCTAGCAGCTTAAGCATGGGAGATGAATGCCAACAGTGTATAATTTTCTGTGTGATTAAAATTGACATTTAAAGAATAAATATATTAGTAATCAGAACAAAAATTTAAGTTTCTAATAATTTTGACTATTTAAAATGTTAGATTTAGTGCTACATTTGTCTTTTTCAATTTAATGTTCTCATACCACCTATTCTGAATGAAAAGCATGAGAAAGCAATAGAAAAAAACAAGTTTGCTTCCCTGGATGTAACTGTTGACAACTTGGGGTAGAAAGACAGCAGTTACTCCATGACTATGACCCAAGACTGTTTGAAAGAATTCAGCAAGTACATATACCATAGTCCCATGGCTATCTGATCTAGTAGGATTTAGAATAGTCTGCAATGACTCAAATAAGTATTTGCCTATTTAAGTCTCACACAGAAATTAATTTAATCATGTGTAAATATCATGTACATACCAATGAAAATTTCAACTTGAGATTTTTCTTAGTAAAATGGTTAATTTCATCCCTTCACCTGAGGGCATCAATTCAGTGAAACCAGAGATAAGAAATGGTCCTAACAGAAGTACATCCTTCCTTTTATGTCCCAGCTTCTGTAAAATTTCCTGCCTTCCTGATTTGACTTGTACAACCCAATTTAAGAGTGGAAACAAAGTCTGAGGAGAACCCTGCAAGAATTGGTCTACCTTACAATGTCAGACTTCCAAAGAACACTCTTCTCAGGCAACCCAACATCTCCTTACCCCGAGGACAGTACCTCACTTCCTTTTCAGGTATCATCTTACCGTGCTGGCCTCTCATTCTTAGAACGGTGTGGTTCATCACTCTCTTTTGATTTTGAGTGTGTTGACTTAGCTGTTTTTGGCTATGGATAGCAAACACAAATAAAACACACATACACAGAAAACAGCAGACAGAGAAAGATTAGGTTTAGAAAATATCTAAATCAGGCCAAACTCTTTTAATTTCACATTTCTTACATTCAACTGAGAAAGTATTTTTAAATCTGGCCATTCAGAGATTTACAATAATATGCTCACAAAGGTATGCTGGAAGCTGTCAGTGCAGCCAGATGAGTGGGCAAAATAAACAGGAATATACTCCTCTGTGGAGGTGGTCACCAGCTGTTAAAGTAATTGCTACATAGCAGCTGAGAAGAACGGGTGAATTCCCAGAGGCTATGGAATCTAGGTTTATGTTCCTCAAACCTATTTCTAAATATCTGACTTAGGGAGGCTGATTTTCGAGCCAGGAAACTAAGTGAACTTTTCCAAGAGAACATACCAGTACTAGTTAGAGAACCTAGAAATTATGAAAGTCCTGAAACGTGCTAGAAATGTGGCCTTCCCCCTTTCACTTTCCTGATTGTTAATCCTTAGTAATATGTACTCCTTCATAGGTTAATAAAAAAGAACCTGAGGGGATATCCCCTACCTTCCAATCAGGGTCGTGCTTTCTTTTGTCCAGAGATGATTTCTCCCGCTCCTTGGCTTTCTTATAAGCTTTTTTTTCTTCAGCCATTAGAAGTCTAGCGATTTCCTAAACAAAATCCAGTCAACATTGTTAAATGCAGAGTTGTAGGCTGAAAATTATTGGCATATTCCCAAAGAATTTGGCTAAGTGAACTCATTAACTAGCAAGAACTCACTTCATCCTGGGCAACTTGAGCTGCTCTCATGTCCACTTGGGTAGCCTATGGTATAGAAAATACAAAAAAGAACACTTTAATTGGATCCATGTAGTTGATTAAAAAAAAAAACAAAAACCTCACACAAAAAAAAACTGGCATCTGAAACTAGTTGTGATGACCTTCCTAAAGTTAATAATCAGTTGGTATACTTTCACCAATCACAGGAGGGTCTTTTTTTTTTTTTTATCATATTCTAGGTGATATTTAGAAAATCATCTAAAATCAATAATGTAGAGACAAGAGAGATGGAGTCTGCTGCAGTTTCTTACTCAGTAAGTAAAAATAGACAGTCTACTTCTATTGTCCTAATTTTTCCATCAATAAAAAGAGGTACCGGTTTCTCAATTCACAGAACACTATGCTGCCTATTATATAATTTGTATGATTCAATTCACAAAAACCTACTAATTCATCTGAACTTTTACAATAACATTTGCTCACCAAAATTTCTTCTTCTTGCAGTTTTCTGGCAATTTCAGCATCATACCATTCCTGATCCCTGTGGGTCACTCGTGATGGAGTAGAGACAACTTCTTTCATCGTTCTTGATTTCATTCCTAGAAAAAAGTCAATGTATAAGGCGACCATGTTTGTTTTCTGATAGTTGCAAAATAACAGAAGTTTGTCTTTGGTATCTAAAATTGACCATACCGTCTTCATTCCAAATTTCAATACAACTGAAATAGTTTCTTCCATAGAAATGCTGTTGTAGATAATCCACACATTTAAACACAGTTAAGCATCCAAACCTGCCTGTTAAAAATTCTCTGCTCACGTAAGTTCTTCAACAGCAGAAAATTATGCAAGGAACTGTTAGGCTTTTGCAAAATAAGTAAAAAAAATAAACCAAGTCACTAGAATAAAACTAATTTAGTTAAAGAAAGTCATAGAGTTGGAGTTTTAAAGAGGATGTTGTCAAAGACTGGAGGAGAACAGAGGCTTCCTTCTATTTGTGTCAGTCTTGCATACCTGACTTCAGAGGGAAGAGAGACAGCTGGGAGTTACGAGAGAGGATCTGTTAGTCATTTGGCAATCCCGCCAGAGCTTCTGTCTGATGGTCAATAAACACACTTGCTTTACATTTTTCCCATTAACTTTGATCAGTTGAATAGTTGCTAAATTTTAGGGAAGATATAACATAAAAGAAATCAGAAAGCACAAAGACCTTAGAATTCTATTCCTCTATGGAGAAAGTTACATGTAGGCTTGGTAGAGAATTTTGTCTTCTTACTTTGAAACTTTATAAACAGAATATATTCCTTTTCTAACTTTTAATGAAGTGGTAAATGCTAACAGTCATTTGAAAATTGTGAGTAGGTACCTCTTTGTGCCCTTTACAAATTAGAATTATTCAACAATGTTAATATATCATTTTCAGAAATAAAATTTTTAATGCAGTGAACAAGATAGGCCATCTGGAATAGTGACTTTCATTAAATGGATTACTGAAGGGAGAAAAAAATTGTACTCCTAACTACTTATTTCCTTCTATCAGTGGTACCTAACTATGGTGTATCATATATGTATATATGATATATATCTCTCTCACCGGTGATATACATATGAGCTATATGATATATATGATATATACATCATATATGTGATATATATGATATATGATATATATATGATATATATGATATATCACATATATATCTCACTGGTGATATATATCACCGAAACCCAAGAGATTCTCATTTTTTTTAAGTTTTTAAAGTCTGAACAGTTGATTCTGATTTGCAATTAGAATTGGAAATTGGAACTACTAATTTAGTATATTACGCTCATCAAAATAACCATACATTGAAACAATTTTTATGAGAAAGCTTCATTAAACTTGATTCACTTGCTTTAAACAAAAAAGGAAAAGAACAAGAATATACAATTATATCCTGGGCAAAGAGAATTTACCTTATGAAGCCTTTCTTTGCAGATCTTTAAACCAAACTTCAGGGTAAAACCCAAAGCAACATACTCATCTGTCTTTCTCACAAGTAATAAATTAGAAAACCTGTCTTTCTTGGCTTTCTTAGCTTCAGTGTTATTACCTGACTACCCAAAACACAGAATTCACTTCAACTTCACATCATCTGTAGAGTTATTGAATCTTACTCAGATTCTGAGTAGTTTGGGACAGCAAGAAAAAAGTGGCATATTCTCAAGAATGAACCATATTTATTTTTTAAAGATTTATTTATTTATGCATACAAGAGCTGGGATACAGGCCAGAGATGCGGGGTATGAGAGGATTCACCAGAGACAGAATCGGGAGCAGAACTGGCAGATCTACTGAAATACACTGCTGAGGGGAGCAGCAGATAAGACATGAGAGGTCTGCTGTACAATGTGGGTCAGCTCCCTGGCCAGGGATCGAACTCGTGCTACAGTGGCTGTGGACTGCTTCATAGCACTGCATCTTAACCCTTTGCACCACCATAGAGGCCCCAAGAATGAGCCATATTTAAGTGAAATATAAAATCCTTAAGTTTGACTTCGAATACTTTGGTCATAACCAGAAAGATTTCAGGAAGGTGGTATTGGACAACACCTGAGGGAAAAGCAGGCTGCTGTACCATATCCCTGTCTATAGAAAAGTGACACTTCAATGAGCAGCCCAAAGTCTAGTGGCGGAGGACAGGAGAGATCACACTTATGCCTCGATCCTTCAATTCGGCCATCCAATGAAAGAATGGCAGAGTAGGATGTGTTCAGAATTTCAAGACACTAAACTTTCTGCAAGAGCATGTCTTCTATTCTACACACCAGAACTGAGAAAATATTTTGCTGTAAATTCTATCAGACACTTGGAAGTCATTCAAATGAGTAGGCATATGAACAGTCTTAATTGGCTGCACAGGGTGACAAGATTGTGACCTCCTGGCAGTTAAAAGATAGTGATGACTTCATTAACAGGTCAGAATTTGAGGTAATACCTAATTCCCAAATACAGGAAAAAGAGTTTATCTGAACTCAATATATCATTGGAATTTGCAGAAGTCTCATGAGCAAAAACATCTCCATAGGCTGGAATACAAGATTTTTGAACCAACAGTATTGCCCACTCACTGTAGTTTTCCCTGTACAAGAAGTGAAGAGCTTTCATAAGAATGTAAGAAGGAAGTTCAGACAGCACACTGTAAGCCTGTCATTACAGAAAACAGACATACTTTAAACTTTTAAAAATGAAGTTAGCTGAAGGAAATAAATGGAATGGCTGCCTTCATCCTGGTATCCTAAACATGATAAAGAAGCTAGCTTTCAAAAGATTAGGTGAGCTTCATGTATTTCAACAGTTCCACATTTATTTAATCTAATTCTTGCTTACCTTTCTCTGGTCATCATCCTCCAGTCCGAGGACACAAGAAATTCTCTCAATATACACAAAGCTATATCTTCAAATACATTCTATTAAGTTGTTAAAAGGCCTGATAGTTAAGATAAACTTATTCAAAGCTTGGAATAAGGTAAAATAATACTAGATTCTTTGATATTATGTGTATTTTATAAAAAGCCAGCCTGACAAATAGGAAATGTCATAGTACTAAGTTGCAGATGTTTTATGGCCCTGAGAGGCTGGAAGTTAATCTGCAGAAAATTAATAAGCTAGTACAATTTAACAGCTCAACAGATGATATAGTTTTACTGCCTTTTATTAAGTCAACCAAATCTAGTATTTTGCAATTTTATTTTGCATTTTTTTCAAATGACTCTATAAAAGCCTGTCCTGAAAATGTTTTGGTTTTTTTTTAAAGATTTATTTATTTATGTATACAAGAGTTGGGGTACCGGCCAGAGGTGTGAGGGGTGAGAGGATTCACCAGAGACAGAGTGGTGAAAAGAACAGGCAGACTGACCAAAGTACACTGCTGAGGGGAGCAGCAGGCAAGTCAGGAGAGGTCTGCTGCGCCATGTGGGTTTCTCCCTGGCTGGTCGGGAATCACACTCATGCTGCAGTGGCTGTGGATTGCTTCATAGGTTGAGTCTTAACCCTTGCACCACGAGGGAGGCCCCTGAAAATGTTTTTAAACCCAGATCTTTATTGTTCTGCTATATGTTGCTTCTTTTTTTCTTTTTTAAAGATTTATTTATTTATTTATATAAGCACTGGGTACAGTCAGAAGCGCGGGAGGGTGAGAGAATTCACCAGAGCCAGAGCAGGGAACAGAACAGGCAGACCAACGAAATACGCTGCTGAGGGGAGCAGCGGGCATGGCAGGAGAGGTCGGCGTGCCTTGTGGGACCCTCGCCGGCGGCCAGGGATCAAACCGGCACTGCAGAGGCTGCAGGCAGCTTTGCAGCCCAGCGCTCAACCGCTGCACCACCAGGGGAGGCCCTATATGTTGTTTCTTCACCATTAAGTTAAGTAAAACATTGGGTTAGGCCAAGAACTTTTAAGAACTGTTTTTACAACTATAAGAATAGCTACCAGTACCTAGTAATTATATTTTAATGTGATCCTCTGACTTATTCCAAAGGGTAGAGAAAGCCGGGGAGGTAAAATTTGTAAAGTGAGTTGACTATACATGTAGCAGCTATGTTGTGACCATTTTAATACATGCCTAGCAACACTGTTTTTTAGTTTGTGCTGGCAAGAAAAAAAAAAAAGACAAAACATCTGTTCACACACCTGTAGCAGGGTCTGTGAATCAGTATCTAGACTCATATTAGTTTTACCCTTCCTAAGCCTGATAACTTTATCATGTGTAACTAAAAGTTATAAAGGATAACCAGTCCTTAGGGCACCCTTATAAGGTCAGATTTGTAGAGCAGAAATGGAGATGTTGGTATAATCATCGTTCCTCTCCCTACATCTTTAGAACTCCAACATATCTTTATAAACCTGGATAGAGTATAATTTATTCTCGAAGCCTATTCCAGATAGGTTTTATCTCCTCCTACTCTACTCCTCCATAGTTCTTTGTTCTAAGGATATTTAATTTGCAATTGTTTGTTTACATATCCACCTTTTTGGTTTATTAACCCACTTAGACTCAGATCAAAACATAAATTCCAAAACACAAAATCTGAGGCAAGAATACTGGCAGAAGATACTTAGTACAGCTGGCTGAACTGAATTTTCCTTTACTTTAGGACAAGTCCTTAAGTAGGAGAAAACATGACACAAAGAAGTCAACTGAATCAACCGAGATCTGTAACCTACAAACCAGTTTCAAAACCAGAAATGGAGGTTGGCTAAATTGGAAGAAAAGATGTAAGATTAGATGCTCCCTGGTCCTTTCCCGAAAATCCTTGCATGTCTGTAAACCTCAGTAAGAGTGAAGTAGAATGAGGAAGATGAATACAGTATAATAAAAGAACTAGACAGAGCAGTGGTACAACATCTGGTATAAACAAAGGGAAAGCCTAATTCACAATAGTTCCAGATAAGAACAGAGGAAACCATTAGTGTCAATGATGTACTTGAATTAAGCCTCATGGTTGCCAAAAATTTGAGGCTAAGTTTAATGTTTATCTCATTGCTATGTAAGTGCCAAGATACTTACCTGACATTGGGACTTCAGAACACCAAGTAGAGGGATTAAAGAAGTTTACAACACAGAAAGTAATTTAAGGCAATGGTTTTCAAACTCTAAGTATACTTAAGAATCAACACCGGGCCTCCCCGGTGGCGCAGCGGTTGAGCGCTGGGTTGCGAAGCTGCCCGCAGCCTCTGCAGCGCCGGTTCGATCCCCGGCTGCTCCCCGGCCACGGGAGGAGGGTCCCACATGGCGCGCAGACCTCTCCTGCCGCCCGCTGCTCCCCTCAGCAGTGTACTTCGGTCCTTCTGCCTGCTCTGCTCCCCGCTCTGGCTCTGGTGAATTCTCTCACCCTCCCGTGCTTCTGACTGTACCCAGTGCTTGTATAAATAAATAAAAATAAAATCTTTAAAAAAAAAAAAAAAAAAAAAAAAAGAATCAACACCAGGTCTACAACAAGCCCAAACTCCAGGCTGCAATCCAGAGATGATAATACATATGACCCAGAAATCTGTAGTTTCAAAAGACAGCCCAGCTGATTCTGACAAAAAATGGACTGGGGCCTACTTTGAAAAACTCTGTCTTAAGAGACTGCCTATCCAATACCTCACTTTACAGATGGAAAAGTTGAGGTCAAGAACATCTAGAACTTCCAGTTCTGTTGGCCTTCTAGTTAGGAAAGTGATATGAAAGGAACATCCCAACATACCAATCTGTATTCACTGAATTCAAACCAGAAATTCAGGAGCTTTGATTTCCTATCATTTGGCATGAAGAATTATATCTGGATGGGCATGCCCACTGCAATCTGGTGTTAGAAGAACCTTCAAAGAAATATGTGTATTCTCTCAGAAGGCAACAGGGGGAAAGTACAAATAGTTTCCTTCTTCCTACAGACTTGAGATTAAGTAAATACATTTTGCAATACGTGGTTCCAGGATTTATTTCAAAGTCCTGAAGACAAACTTGAGAGAAAGAACAGATTGCTTAAAGTGTTTAGTATACATTTGTTTGTATGTATATATGAGAGCAAGACTTCCGATGAGACTCTCCTTTATTACCTGTGTTGTTAAGTTGGAGCCGTTTCTCACTCTCTGAGAAGGGAGGAGTCCTGGGTCTGCGTGTCCTTTCTTTGTGCTCACCTTGCCTGTGATTCCTCCCATATATAGCTTCCTGGCAGTGAAGCCCTATTTTCTGTGAAGACTTGAGAGAAAGTTGATCTTGGTGTCTGGCCTCTTTTTCCCAATTATGAGTTCGATGGCTACTATCAGCTTCCTGGTCATCAAATTCAGTACTCAGAAATACTTCACCACTGATCTTGGGAAGTGGAGGTTTTCGGGGTCTCTCACAAATAGGTCGGTTCCTATCATGCTGCTCAGAGTTAATTTGAGGATCATCCCTCATTTTTCCCCAACTGGAGGATGACAGAGTTCTTTCTGATGAATGATGCTCTTCGAGTTCTTCCATGTTTTCCAGCGGATATTTTGGTTTCTCCTTCCTCTGCTTCACAGTCTTTTTATCACCTTGGGGTCTAGGAGACCTTGAGAATCCAGAACCCAAATCCCTTGCCCTCCTTGACCATGGCTGGTCTGAGTGTAGGTAGAAGGATGTGAAACATAAAAATGCAAGTTAACTTTAATAAGAGTATGAACTCACTACACAGAGGATCAGAAGGGCCCAAATTTAACATTTTTTAAAATGGAGAAGGTTATATTTTCAACTTAACAAATTTAAAATAAGGGGTGAGCATTTAGTGGAATATCCATGTAGACATGAAGGATTCTCATAAACAACTAAAATAAAATAAAGTGAAATAACTTAAATCTGAAAGCGCTTGATCATGATTAGTGTAAGCACAGTGATTTGATATTTGCCAATATAAAAATTACAGCCATTAAATATTAAATTCTATTTATAAAACTAGTGTGGAAGTAGTAGATAGGGAGAAAAATGGATTTTGAGGGAATCTTACAAAACAGAAAAAAACTAAGGTTTGTGATTCAGTCAGAGATTTTCAATTTTTTTTTTTTTTACTGGAAATGACAATAAATCTATACCAGATTGTTGTGAGTTTCTACTTAGTTCAGAGATATGATCTACTGACTTAATATTCCTTGATCATGTCCCCTTAGATGGTCAAAGCAAAAATCCTCAACCATATTATAATTCAGTGAGGACCTAGAGGATGAATTAGAGGAGAATTTTAAATTAGTAAATGACCCTGCTGCTTTCTTCTGATTACTATGCTCCCAATCATACTCAAAATTCAGTAGAGGAAAGTTTTAAAAAGGGATGTCACAATGAATTCCTAAACACATTTCATAACCTTATATCGTTGTGTTTTTTGGTGTAAAATTACAGTATGTGTTAAATATACAAGTCCCTAAATTTATTTTTTTAAAGATTTATTTATTCATTCATATAAGAAATGGGGTACAGGCCAGAGCTGTGGGGGGTGAGAGGATTCACTACAGACAGAGTGGGGAACAGAACAGGCAGACTGACTGAAATACACTGCTGAGGGGAGCAGTGGGTGAGACAGAAAGTTCTGCTGTGCCAGCTCCCTGGCCAGCTAGGGACTGAACTCATGCTGCAGAGGCTGTGGATAGCTTCACGGTACTGTGCTTAACCCCTTGCGTCACCAGGGAGGCCCTTAACACACGCTTTAGTAACAACACAAAGATGGGTGCTTCCATCAGATCTCATTTAGGTTCACAAGCACACAGTAAAATAAAGGAAGCAAATAAATATGCCCTTTGCAACAGCATACTTAATTTTAACATTTTCTAAGATTTTTATTATTTTGAAATGATGAAAAAAAAAACTTCATTTCATGGAAAATTGCTAAGATAGCTAAGATACTTTCCATTTGTCTTAGGTTTTGATTTTTTTCTTTTAATTTGTTGTTGTTGATGTAATAAATGACTAGAGGAAGGGTGAGATAAAAGCATCAATGACACCACGAGCTTTGACTAAAAAACCTCAAATTGTTTCTTTGAGTTTTCCAGGAAAAAAGGAAATTTGCTTCAAAGATGACATCTAAATTAAAACCTGTCTTTTAAGATGTCTGTAAATATATTTACCTTCACTATTTGTGGTTAAGTGTATTTTTTTTTTTTTGCATAAAAGCAAAAGTGAAACAGAAAATTACTCTCTGTGATGTTACTTACTCTTTTAGTGAAACTATTATTTTAAGTGTATCCCAACAACTGACAAAGGATCAACTGACCACTGTTTGTGAATTGATATTGAGCAGCCATGGATGACCATGTACAGGCAACAGTCTTTTACAGTGCCATCACCAACATTCAGAGAGAGCTATATGAGTCAAGTCTGCCTTTTAGTCCAAAACAAACAAGAAGCGTTTTGTGTTTGACATGGATTTTGTAAAGCTACAGCTATTAACTAAAAAGTTAACTGATACTAGTTTTACTTTAGGGAACTGTGATATAAGAAGCAGAACAGAAGTTACTGTATTTTCAATTAATTGGAAAAAACATTCATTGTCTAGTTTACCTTTGATATCCTTAAGCCCAGCAAAGAAAAAAATTAAAAAGACTGGAGTAGGGGACTCTGAATCCTTTAAAATCTTGTCCAGTTAATGAATCAGAATTATACACTTCTTGGGATTAAGTTAGTTATTTGGCAAATAGAATTAATTTCTTCGTAGTCACTATATATATATGTATACACATATTTACATATATATGTATTGACATACCCATATACATTTTATCTGAGTGTATCCATGTTTATCTTGCAAAATAGGATGACTTTATTTAGTTATATAAAAATACTGTTATACACACATAACAATGATATATGTATAAACGATAGTATTTCAGAGTTTGTAGATGCCCTTTGCTCTTCTCCATATCCAAGTGATGGATGTATTTTCAGAAATCTCCACTTTAAGGATAATAATCAGGTTTATAGTGATTACAGCAGATAACTTCCTTAAAATTATAATTGTTCTAGGGAGGAATGGAACTGCAATCAAGGCTGTAAGGCTCCAGAAACTATGATTTTAAAAATCACTAATATGGGAGCCTCCCCAGTGGCGCAGCAGTTAAGCGCTAGGCTGAGAAGCTGCCCGCTGGCTGCCTGCAGCCTCTGCAGCGCCGGTTCAATCCCCGGCCACGAGCGAGGGTCCCACATGGCGTGCAGACCTCTCCTGCCGCCCGCTGCTCCCCTCAGCAGTGTACTTCATCAGTCCGCCTGTTCTACTCCTTGCTCTGGCTCTGGTGAATTCTCTCACCCTCCCGCGCTTCTAACTGTACCCAGTGCTCGTATAAATACATAAAAATCATTAAAAAAAAGAAAAAAGAAAACTCCACAGCCTGGAGTGAGCTTTAAAAAAAAATAAATAAAAAAATAAAAATCACTAATATGCCTGCAATACAGATAAGTGGTTTTTTTTTTTTAAAGATTTATTTATTTTTATACAAGAACTGGGGTATAGGCTAGAGGTGCAGGAGGGTAAGAGGATTCACCAGAGACAGAGTGGGGAGCAGAACTGGCAGATGGACCAAAGTACACCGCAGGGTAACAGCGGGTGCAACAGGAGAGGTCTGCTGCGCCATGTGGGTATCTCCCTGGCTGACTGGGAATCGAACTGGCACTGCAGACAGCTTCATTCATAGTGCTGTGCTCAAACTGCTGCTCCACCGAGAAGGCCCCCAGGTAAGTGGTTTTTGAAAGAAAAACATGGGCTCATTAATGAATCGGTTACACAATTTTAGTTGATACAAATCTGAGAGTAGTTTTGGAAAACTTTAAATTTACAGAAATCTATAAATGATTATTTTTTAAAAGAGGAAACTGATTAAAATTTAAGTAAAATAATGGCTGAAAAGACCATTTCTGTAACGATACACTGATTATTTTGAAAGTAATGCAAAAATCATGTTACATAAAGGCAGAGAATAACAAAGAAAATCCCTCATGTGTTGGGAAAGGACCTCTGCAAAGAACACAAGAACTGCTTTGTGAATAGGAGCTGAACTGTAATGTGGTTTCTTTGGAACTCAATTTGTTCTAAGTCAAAAGCATATAAATGAAGATCATATGTTCAGCAATATATGATCTCCCAACACCACCACTATCAAAGCAAGAGAAATTCAAATAAATGCAATACTCAGGAGATCAGTACTTCCTATTCCTTATCACCCACCACCCCGCAATCTCAAAAAACAAACACGTATGCCACTTTCTACACGTTGTAACTGCAGTTAAAAGAAATACTGAATAATTTTTTAAAAATACAGGTGCCCCTGAAACACCACTGAATTCTTAGAAATAGTCCCCTTTCCTAAACATTGGAATCAGGAATGACAATACCCTAGTTAAAGCACCAGGCTTGAGTCCAAAGTCAACCAAGTATAAAGTTTTCTTAGAGGAAGGTTAACATCAATACCTTATGTACTTAATTATTTGTCATTGTAATACTTTCAAAAACTTAAAGATTTTAAATAGTTACTTTTATTTACAATAAGCATGTCTCCAGAGCAGAATTAAAAATAAGAACAAATGAAAAACACCAGACTACATTTCTAAGATTAATTAAAGCTAAAGAGCAACTCCTTACCATCTGTTCTCTAGTATAGCAAATATGCCAGTAAGTTCCTTTTAAATCATGTAAGACATGATTGAATTAGAAAAACAAGCTTAAGGAAAACTGTTATCAGAAAAGGGCTGAGTATCTTAAATATCAAAGAACAAACATCAATAATAAACAGTCAAATTGATTACTGATTATTTCATAGAGCTGCGTTCTACTAATTATAACAAATTTACACCAACAATGTGGGCAAGATTGTACTCAAATATGCCTGTCATCTACATACACATTCCTTTCATTCTACTCATCATGGACAAATACCTATTTAACTTTTATCATGAAATTACAGAGATGCAACTGATATTTAGTATGCAAGGGCCTTTGGGATCACTGACCTTAAAATTTACTCCTTAAATGCCACCTTTAAGTTTTATTTACTTGTTAACCTAAATGTGGTCTCAAAGATGAACTTCAAAAAATACTGATACTAAAAGCTGCAAGAAATGTCTTTCCTAACAGATCTTTAATAAGGACAGAACAGTACTTGCAAATATTCATTTCCCAACACACTTTGTAAGATAAAAGAATAACCACCACCACAATTGTCATCACCATCACACCACCATCACCACCACACTACAAAGCAGGCACTGCAGAAGAGTAATTTTGAAGAGAATTTCTCTCCTTTAGAAATTTTTCCATATGGTAATCAAATAGCAAAGAAAGCGTCAAGAGCAAAAAATGAAGAGAATATTAAAATTTAATTTGATACCAGCAAAATAAATCATTGTCATAGGGTTAAGATAAAAAAACAGGGAAAAAAAAAATTTGCTATCTAGTATTTTTTTATTATTAATTTTACTCTGCTGCTTCAAGCAGTACTGCCCAAACTTCCATGAGAAAGATCAAATCCAGAAACTTACCTGCCATTTTTCCATACACCGGTCTAAGTGCTTAGAATATAATATAACTATTCCAAATGGCCACAGCACAAAATAATGCGGGTCAGTCTTATAAAACTATATTCAAGTTTTAACAGTCATAAAAATGGGTCTGATATGTCAACTAAATACAGATTAAATTCAGATAGAAATATGCCACAAATCTAAGTGGACCCTAAGGTCAATTTATGGACAAGTTTAAAGGCCTGCCGTTAAGGCTGAATGTAGGGACGGGGTAAATCATGATGTAGACATTGTTACCTCCATCTTCATAATAGTAACTATCTCCATAAGCGTTGGTGCCAGAGGACTCTGGAAAGTGCTTCTTTCTTTTTTTCTCTTCCTGTAACTCCTTCTCTTGCAAAAAGCGAGCTATGTCCTGCAATACAAAACAAATGGCAATAAATAATACTATAGATTTAACAACCTCCATACAGTGACTTTACTGGTCAACTGCTTAACATCCTGTTACCAAGATTTCATTAACTGTCTATGGCTCTCTAGACTTTCTGGTATTAATCACATGTCATATAAATGCCACCGATGATCACTCAGAACGTCACAAGATCCAGGTGAGGAAAAAAAACTTTATTCTATTTTTAAAATTGAAATCTAACACAATCTGAAGACATTAAACCTAGTATTTCCTAAAGCTGTTATTCAACAGAATTTTAAAAATACATGTGGACTCTTTTTCCAAAACAATGATTCAATAAGTCTGGCTGGAGAAGAATGCAGTAATCTATAAAATTTTATGAATTCTATTTGTAAGATAATTTTGACTCTTTCACAGGACTTCTTCGGCTAATTCAGCTTTACATTAGAGCACCACCAACTCACAGAAAAAGAGAAAACAGTCTTCCTCCTCTTCCCCTATTGCTTCACTTCCAGGCAAGATTTTAGCAATAACTAAATGATAAGTAACAACTTGACCCTGTCCCCCCAAAGAATACCATCCCCCTATGAAAACAAAGATGTCTACAAATAACTAGAACTAAATTTAAAAACATTACCAGGTCCAAGTGCTATACCTCTCAGGGATCTTATAATTGCTGTCCTACTACTGAATTTAGATCTAATGAGTACACAGTAATAAGTTACTCTCAGTATAAAGAACCTTGACAGAAATGTGTATGACACCCCATGTTCTCAAGACATTTGTTATTCAAGGGAAGAATATGTTTAATCAAGTAGAAAAATTATAGTCATAATGTATGGGGTACCCCAGCACCCAAGTACTTTGCTCCTCTAAGCTCTCAGCTCTATTTTGAGTAAGATTCAACTGGGTAAGGAGAAAGGTCAGCTAGGCTTGAGAGGGGAAAGAATAAAGAATTCAATGGCAAACTGTTGTTATATTACAAATGTGGTTTAGTACAGTTTTTTCTGCTTTCTGATATTACTGTGCAATGAGTTCAGTCATGTCACATAACAAGTGTCAATGAATTTCATGAAGATTGAAATTATATCAAGTTATGGTAGAAGCAACAGGTATCAACCTAATACGGGCATATATGACAAACCCATAGCCAATACTACACTCAAAGGTGAATAATTGAAAGCCTTTCCTTTAAAGGTACAAGACAGGGGCAAGATAAGGATGTTCATTTTCACCACTACGATTCAACATAGTATTGGAAGTCCTAGTTAGAGCAACTAGACAAGAGAAAGATAAAAAAGGAATACACATTGAAAAAGGGAGGAAAACTATCCCTACTTGCAGATGACATGATAATGTACATAGAAAACCACAAAACTCCACTAAAAAAACTATTAGAAACAATAAATCAGTACAATAAAGTGGCAGGTTACTAAATCAATTTGCAAAATTCTGTTACATTCCTATTTCTAATAACTTAGATGAGAAAGAAATCAAGAACAAAATCTCTTTGCATTACATCAAAAAGAATGAAATACCCAGGAGTAAGCTTACCAACTGAGTTCAAAGAACTATAAAACAAAACCTGTAAGACACTGCTAGAAGAAACAGAAGACAAAAAAAAAAAAAAAAAAAAAAAGCAAAGATATTTCCTGTAAATGGACCAGATGAATTAATATTGTTAAAATGGCCATTTTTCTCATGCAATTTACAGATTCACGTCAACCCCTATCAAAGTTTCAATGGTATTCTTCAAAGAATGAGAAAAAGCATTATTGAAATTTAAATGAAACCACAAAAGACTAGTAGTCAATTCTCACAAAAGAACAAAGGTATCACACTACCAGACTTTAAACTGTACTGCAAAGCTGCAGTAATCAATACAGTATGATAGCGAAATAAAAATGTATACACAAACCAATGGAAGAAAGCTGAGTGTCCAGAAATAAACCCACACTTATATGGACAGTAAATTTACAAAAAGAGCCAAGAGTAAACAATGGAAAAAGGAAAAGACTCTTCAATAAATGGTGAAATGGTGGTAGGAAAATTGGACAGCCATAGACAAAAGAATGAAACTAGATCAACATCTCACACCTTATACAAAAATTAATTCAAAATGTATTGAAGACTTGGATGTAATAATAAAATACACAGAAGAAAAAATTGGTAAAATGCTTACAACATTGGCTTCAGTGACGTCTTTGGGGACTTGACTCCAATAGCAAAGGAAAAAAAAGCAAAAATGAACAAATGTAACTATGTCAAAATAACATGCAGCAAAAGGAATTACCATTAAAATGAGAAGACAATCAACTGGGAGAAAATAAGTGCACATCATATATCTGACAAGGGGCTGACATCCAGATCTACAAAGAATTCCTACAATTTGTCAAAAATACAAAGAACCCAATTAAAAATAAGGGCAGAAGGGCTAAATAGCCACTTATCCAAAGAAGACTTATAAATGGTCAATAAGCAATGAAAAAATGCTCTTCATCACTTATCAAGTAAATGCAAGTCAAAACCACAAGGAGATAGATACTACACCTGTAAGAATGGCCCATATCAAAAAGATCACAAGTGTTGGCAAGGATGTAGAGAAAAAGGAACCTTTATACAGGCTGTCGGGTCCTGTCGTTACGGAAAATAGTATAGCGGTTTCTCAAAATATTAAAAATAAGCTTACCATATGATACAGCAGTCCTATAAATATTCACCCAAATAACACAAAAACACTAAATTAAAGAGATGTAAGCATATTCCTATGTTCACTACAGCACTATTTCCAATAGCCAAGTTATGGGAACAACTTAAATGCCCAAGGAAGGACAGAAGAGGGGTTAGGAAGATGTGGTATACCCAGTGGAGTATACACAGCTATTAAAAAAAAAATGGAATCTTGTCATTTGTGAAAACATGAACTAGAGGAAATTGTCAAAATAAATCAAGAAAGGGCCTCCCCTGGTGGCACAGTGGTTGAGCACTGGGCTGCGAGGCTGCCCGCAGCCTCTACAGCACCGGTTCGTTACCCAGCCGCCGGCGAGGGTCCCACCAAAAATAAATAAATAAAATAATAAATCAAGAAAAAAGACAAATGATTTCATGCAAGTGTGGAATACAGAGAAACAAAGCAAAGGAACAGACAAAACAAACTAAAAATATGACTGCAGAACTAGGCTACTAGAGGGATAGAAACAGGGGAAGGGGAGAGAAAGAAGGGGTCCAATGGTTTTGCTTTGGTGGTGGGTGTGGTGTGGTAACATATCTTAAGTGGTGTGAACATGTACCTCTCAATCGTATAGTGTAAACCAAGTCACCTCATTAATACAAAAAGAAATTATGAATACACTATATATAAAAAAATAAAATATAAAAAGCAAGTCTAAAAATGTGAATGTCAAATAATTGTCAGAAGGAAAAAATAAAAGGAAAGCCATTCCACTAAGTGGCAAGTAATATATTAAAAGCTAATTCAGCAGGGAATTCTCAAGGCAGATATAATCCCCTAAAAGAATTACTCTGTAAGATCAGCAATATAATACCAATACTGTGAATTTTAAAACTTCAATATAACTAAGAAAAGAATTTCCCCAACCAGAAGCCTCTCTCTCACCCTTCCTTTCTATTCATAAATGCACAAATTTATTTTCAAAGTGCAAAACAAAGGGGGGGAAATTAGTAACAAAAATGTCCTAATATTTGAGCTATTCTCTAAATATTACCAATTTATATAAATACTCACTTAGAATATGAAACTTCAATCACATTAAGAATGCCACAAAAAGGTGCCATAGTTCACACTAGATTAATTTTTAACTTAAATTGGTTACTAAGTTTATCCCTGAACAGTTCATACTATAAATGGCTTCAAGTTGTTGGACTAGTGCCCCAGACTTTTCATAACATGGTTGGCCATGTTACAGTTTACTTAAGTAAAAGGGGAAAAAAAAAATCCCTAAAATAGTTGCATATTCACATTTATTTGAACATAGGTTCAAAGACACATATGTGTATATCTAAAAGTATACGTACACACATTCAAACACAATCCTTGGTATCATTAAGCAACAAATGCTTATACTATGATCAAAGAGATTCCAATGGAATTAATCCACTTTTCTTAATCACTAACTTACACAGTTGGGTATTCCAAAGGCTACAAGCCCCTTCAACAGGGCACCTAGAGAGTAATACAACTCCTATAGTCAAGAAATGGTGTAAAAGTATGGAAAAAAAAAAAAAAAGGGAGGTAGGAAAGAAAGGGAAGTAGGAGGGACAAAGGAAAAATAGGATCTGAGACAGTACGGGGAGGTAGTCCACAATGGCTGTAAAAATACAAAAGATTTTTTTTTTTCTTTTTTAAACTTTTCAACATCTGTCTCCCAGCCTGGAAATGCGCCTTCCTAACATCTGTGATCTGTTATAAGACACATAAAATTACAGCAAAACAAAGCTGGAAATGCTAATTCATCCATACAAAGTTGTGTAACTCTACTTCTCATGTATAATGATGTTCAGGAAAAAAAATCTCTTTCCAAGAAGAAAGGGGCTTTGGAGTCCTGGGGTTCTATATTTGGTTGTATTGGGGATTACAAACTACCAAAAAGAATTGACACCAAAAATCTCTAAAACAGATTTGGGTGAAAATCCAGTGAGGAAAATTTTCACTGTTGTTGAATAGTAACTAACTAAGAAGACACCACAGGGAAGTAGAAGAGCATAGGGGAAAAAGGGGGGGGGAGACAAAAAATAAGATAATTCATGGGCAACAGGCAATGTTATTTCAAGAGTTGGCCAGAAAAACTAGCACTATTGTCTCAGTCTCAGCCTCTCCTTTATGAGGCACCCTGAATTAAAATTAAAAAAAAAATAATAAGTATTAACATGCATCCTTCAAGGGCCTCCCTGGTGGTGCAAGGGGTTAAGACTCAGCCCTAGGAAGCTATGGGCAGCAAAAGTTCCATTCTCAGCCAGGGAGTTACTCCACATGGAGCAGCAGACCTTTCCTGTTTCACTCACTCCATCCGTCAACATTGTACTTCAGTCAATCTGCCTGTTCTGCTCCCCACTCTATCTGTGAATCCTCTCACACTCGTGCCCCTGGACCACTGTCCTATACCCCAGCTCTTGTATGCATAAATAAAATAAAATAAATCTTAAAAAAATAAAAAATACACACCTTTCAATAATAAACTACTAACGTAAATTTTGTTTAACATTAACCACATAATCCTCAGCTGAGAGTCACATTTTTCTACAGTAAAAGAACACCTTTGGACAACAGTCATGGTCTAACCTAAGGTATCCACTGAAATGTCAGAAAGACTGAACCCAGTTTTTAAAGGATAATCTCACTAAATCTCCACAATTAGATCTCTCATTTACTGTCTTCCACTACACTGGGGAAGAGTAAAACTGGGGAAGAATAAATACTGCAGGTCAAATAGTAGTGGGGAATAAATGAGTAAGAGGTCTGTACAGGCAAGTAAGCCCTTGATGATTCCTCAAATTATACCGTATTGGAATATACTTAGACTTATATTTTCTCCCTCTCAATATCGCTCTATAGAGAAATCAGAACTGTTACAAAGGCCAGAATGGTGGGGAAAGCGCCTAGCAAGAAAGCGAAAGTGAAAACAGCAATCATTAACTTAGCATGTACACACAGTTTTATGTGTGTGTATATATATGATATCATTTAAACCTTATACCAGCCTTTTAGTAAGGATATTATCATGACTTCTCCAAAATGGAAATTGAGCTTCTCCAGGGTTGAGTGAGATGCTGAAAGTCACAGCTAAAAATGAAAGAGCTAAGATTCAAACCCATGTCTATCTAACTCCACAGTTTGTGTGTTTTATATTGTGTCAAAGTATATTTAAGTGTGAAGCAGTCAGTCAGGAGACCTAAACTGTAAGACATTTTCTGACACCTTATTATAGCTTGAGACTAGTCATTTATTTCTTCAAGACTTAAATGTCTTCATCTGAAGTGGATTTCATCACTACACTGCTTATTTTATATACTTCAACCCTCAGATTATTTGTGATTGCTATTAAGATTCTACATGCCTAAAATAAAGTGTTTTGGTTTCTCTTTGTATCCTTCTTCTCTGAATGGAGGGGGGGAAAAAAATCACAGGACACCGGTAGCATTTATAAGAAGCCAACTTCATTACTGCTGTGTTTTAAATAGAAGCTTTCCTGTCTACAAAATATAATCACTTCTTTCAGTTACCAGTTTCTTCCCCAAAGCAAAGTCTCAACTATAAAAAGGCAAAGAAAAAGCCCCTGTGTTGATAACAGGAAGGATCAAAATAAGCTTCATCCTTATTTGCAGTTCTAAATATCACATAATCATCATTTGTTTCTTAAACAACTAAATACACACATACCAATGTCACACATTCATCTGGCAATGGACAGGAGTCCTACAAATCTAACAAAGATGATTAAGTGAGAGTACTAGCAGACAGACATCCTGTATTGGGTGTGTTCTCAATTCAATAACTGGTATCCCATAAGATAACCAGAGGAGACAAAGACATAACGGACAGAGCTATGAGACAATGGAGGCAGAGACCGGAATGATGCACTCACCAGCCAAGGAATGTCAAAAAGACTTTCAGGAGCCACAAAAAGATGGAAGAGACAAAGATTTTACCCAGTTGGTAGCATGTCCCTGCCAACAGCTTCATTTTTAATTTCTAGCTTGATAACATGGGAGAAAAAATTTCTGCTATTTTAAGCTGCCAAGTTTGTGGTAATTTATTAAAGCACCTAATTCACACCTTACATAAAGTTACCAATTATCATCTTTTTTAAAAAAATTATTTTATTTTAGGGCCTCCCCGGTGGCACAGTGGTTGAGCGCTGGGTTGCGAAGCTGCCCGCAGCCTCTGCAGTGCCAGTTCGATCGCCGGCCACCGGGTGAGGGTCCCACATGGCGCACAGACCTATTCTGCCACCCGCTGCTCCCCTCAGCAGTGTACTTTGGTCCTTCTGCCTGTTCTGCTCCCTGCTTTGGCTCTGAGGAATTCTCTCACCCTCCCGCGCTTCTGACTGTACCCAGTGCTTGCATAAATAAACAAACAAACAAACAAACAAATAAATAAATAAATCTTTAAAAAAAAAAGGGAATGCTTTAAAAAAAATTATTTTATTTTAGGGCCTCCCCGGTGGTGCAGCGGTTGAGCGCTGGGTTGCGAGGCTGCCCGCAGCCTCTGCAGCGCCGGTTCCATCCCTGGCTGTTCCCTGGCCACGGAGGAGGGTCCCACATGGTGCGCAGACCTCTCCTGCCACCCGCTGCTCCCCTCAGCAGTGTACTTAGGTCCTTCTGCCTGCTCTGCAGCCCGCTCTGGCTCTGGTGAGTTCTCTCACCCTCCCGCACTTCTGACTGTACCCAGTGCTTCTATAAATAAATAAAAATAAATGTTTAAAAAATATATATTTTATTTTATATAATTCTTATATCATTTTTCATTTTTGCACAATGTATGCATTTTCATTTTGGTTATATTCCCCACACAATTCCCATCCCCACATCTTTTAAGATTTCAACATTTATATAACTGATTGAAGGGCAATGAACATGGTCCCTCAAGGAGGGTAATACTTGGACTATCTATCTCAAAAGAAAAGAGTCCTTCTGATCCTCAATCCTACACTGAGTCCACGAATACAGTAAGAAATCACTCTGGAGGTGAGAGCCCTTCCTCTACAGGGTGGAGGGAAATTCTGAAAGTCGTACCTCATCCTTCTTCTCCTGAATACGTCGTCTCTCTGCCTCGATTGTCAGCTTCTCCTGGATTTCCTGAGCAATTTCACAGTCCTGTTGCTCACTAAAAGACAAAAGGTGAAAACAACATAAATAAGGAATGATTTTTCTTTAAAGTAACACAATTTACTCAATACTCACTATAAATATTAAGTCAGTGCACATTTTTTACTCATTCCTCACAAGAATGATACTGAGGTTGATACTGTTATATCTCACAGGTACCAAACTACTGAGGACCGAAGTAATGAAATAACTTCCTAAGATTTCAGGAAAACTAACCAAAGACCCAGAATCTGATTCCCAGATATCACAACAGAACAAAAGCTCCCTGTTTTTTCTATACAGCCTTATACCTCACCCTACTGGGGAATTCTACAGAGACAGGGATGTTTTCTGAAGCTTCTGCAAAGGATATGCAGACTATGAGATTAATGTCCAAAAATAACCAAATATAGGAAAAGCACAAAGAAAAAAATTAGAAGTGCACTGAAATCTCAATAATACTATGGTCCCCTAGAGGTGGTGGTATGACTTTAAAAATGCTTTTTATAAAAATAAATATTTTAATCAGATGTATTTTTTTCTGGCTTCAACAATGGTAGGGCAGTGTATATTCCTCATCTTCAGTTTCCAGTAGCAACCTTTCTAGCATATCTAAACTTCCTAAATACTCTGGTCACTAAACAAACACGCTGTGATTCTGCTTCTACTCTAGTTTTGTTTTGGCATTTGTGCATTCAACAAAGATTTGAAAAACACCTGCTATGATCAAGGCACTATGCTCAACACTGAGGATACAAGAATGAATAAATTTTTAATCCTGCTCTCAGCAGTTCACAATATATTTTAGTGGGAGAAACAAATCACTGTGATAAAGAAATATTCTTTAAAGCAGCACCTTTAGAACAGTTATACCAATAGAATATAGCAGTTGGATCACACAGAGACGGTTACTGAGTGTGCCCCGAGGTATATAAGTCTTCTGATTTCAGGTTTCAAGAAAAGTCAATGGGCATTTTAAAACTCTAGGATGTCATAGCTCTGAGAAACCAACTTTTACACAAAGTGACATAGAGGATATATTTCCTAGTATATAAAGTGAAGTGAAATTTAAGCTGAGTTTCACCATTTTCACCATATTTCCAATAAAGAACACTTCAAGTTCACTTAGTTAATTCTATTTAATCCTGAGAAAGCAAAATCAAATGTGAACAGGAGGCGACAAAAATCAGTAAGCCTGATTTTGGACAAGGGCCCTAGGATCCAGACTGAGTAAAAGGTTCCACTTCATTAAAATCTACAGCATTTCATCCTTCCCTGGATGTTCAGCTGTTAAGATTGCCAGGGTGTGAACACTGAGAAACTTTCTAATGTACTTATTTCATTCAGGAAAACCTCCAACACAATGAAGACCTAGACAGAAATAGAATATCTGGTTATTTCATTTAGGGCCTAGAGCCCATTACTTTCCAAATCCTGATTTATATTTTGAAGTGCTTTGTCTTAATAATTTCTTTGTCTTAATAATTTACCTTATGATGCTATCATTACCTTAACTTAGGATGCTAAACTTCTGTACCAGGTCTCAGAACTGGATTTCATAACAGAGTCTATCAGACATGAATGATGCCAAAGGCAATCATTTAAAATTCCAGATTCTTTTAGCTCTGGTCCCAAGTTAACTATTTGCAAAACCAAACTGCCATACATCTCAAATCTGTCTCTATCTACTTTTTCTCTAATTCCATTAACGTCACCCTCAATCCAGGTTTTATCATCTCCCTCATCACTAAATTTTTATGACCCATTGTCCTCAACTTCATCATCATCATCTCTTTATTTGACCACTGCTCAATCTTATCCCCTTCAATCCTATAACCTACCCAGCCCCAGAATAAGTCCAAAAATGAAAATCTAAAACCCTTCAATGGTTCTCTGTTGCTTATAAAATCTATAAAACCTAAATTTCTTAACATATGTGACTTTTTAGTCTAATTTTAGACTACTTTTTGACTTTTTTCCTCTCTTACCTCTCTTACCAATCCCCCTACCTAATCCCACTCTCTGCTCCAGCAATACTGAGCATCTTGAAGTTACCATGGGATTCAATCCAGATGCTTTCACCTCTCACAAGAATGGTTTTCCCCAATTATCTATAAACTCTGATTAACTGGCAAGGTTTAGATTAAATACACCACTTGTGCTGGGATGATTTTCCCAGTCTTTTCCTTTTTCACAGGCATGAATTTTACTGTTCAATTCTTTGTGCCTGTGCATGTATCTTGCAACATGTAAGTCTCACGGTTTTTTCCTGGAGCCTTTAAAGGCAATGACTATGCCTTACTGGCACTGACTGTTATTCATGTAAGTGAGTTCCAAAGTCTTTCATAAAGTCAGGTGTAGCGAGAGTCAATAGTGTTTATCTACAAAACAAGGAAGCTAAACAAAATTATGAATATTCTCTAAAATAAACACTTTCTCAGTTTGTTCAATAAATGGTGCTGGGAAAACTGGGTTGCTACATGCAAAAGAATGAAGCTTGACCACTACCTCACACCATACACAAAAATCAGCTCAAAATGGATTAAAGAACTAGACATAAGACCTGAAACCATAAAATACATAGAAGGAAATATAGGTGAAACACTACGTGATATGCACATCAAAGACATCTTTACAGACACATCACCCAAAGCAGTGATAGTGAAGGCAAAGATAAACAGCTGGGACTACATCAAATTAAAGAGCTTCTGCACAGCAAAAGAGACAATAACAAAAACAAAGAGAAACCCCACTGACTGGGAGAACATTTTTGCACACAACACTAATGATAAAGGACTGATAACAAAAATCTGCAAAGAGCTGATGAGACTCAGCAACAACAAAGAAAATAATCCAGTCAAAAAATGGGCAGAAGAGCTAAAAAAAAAACTTTTTCTGAAGAGGAAATGCAAATGACAAACAGGCATATGAAAAAATGTTCAACATCACTTGTCATCAGGGAAATGCAAATCAAAACTACCATGAGATACCATCTTACACCAGTGAGAATGGCACATATTAAAAAAACTAGCAACAACAAATGTTGGCGAGGGTGTGGAGAAAAAGGAACTCTCCTGCACTGTTGGTGGGAGTGCAAACTGGTCCAACCACTATGAAGAGCTGTGTGGAGATTTCTGGTCCTACTAAACATAGAGCTTCCATATGATCCAGCAATTCCACTCCTAGGTATTTACCCAAAGGACACAGAACATCAATTCCAAAGAGCACCTGCACCCCTATGTTTATAGCAGCACTATTTACAATAGCTAAGCTTTGGAAACAACCCAAATGCCCAAAAATAGATGACTGGATCAAGAAGATGTGGTACATATACACCATGGAATATTACTCAACATTCAAAAAAGATAAACACATGCAATTTGCAGCAACATGGATAGAGCTGGAAGGGATCATGCTCAGCGAAATAAGCCAGAAAGAAAAAGAAAAATACCGGATGGTCTCACTCATAGCAGGAATCTAGAAAACTTAAATAAGGGGCCAGGAAAATGAACAAATATAAGAAAGTGAAAATCAAAATCAACAAAAAACTATGAACCCCAGACTCTCTATGGGAGGGTGGGTGCCGGGGAGGGGAGGGATTGGGGTCAAAATAAGGGGATTGCAATTGTATGGGGAATATAAAAATAAAATTTATTTAAAAAGAAATAAAAATAAAAATAAACACTTTCTCAAAGGCAGCAAAAATTAGTCTTCCCCACTTTATTTAAACATAATAATTAAGATAAAGTAAGTGGTCCCTTACTTCTCCCTTTAGCTAATCTAGTCCGGTTAAATCTAGTATCTAATGGTTAAATCTACCATTATTAGAGATTTAAGTATAAGAGATACCGCCAATGAAGAAATGTAGTTTGTGAGCTTTAAAGCAGTGAATAAAGGTAAAAAGTCATTGTGATGAAGAGTCCTTAGAGATGATCTTTCCATGTAAGTAACTATTAAAAGAAAAAACTTAGAGGACATTCTGTCAGACCCTGAAGTTATAAAAAGAACTGAGTGTACAATTCAGAATTTTCCAGAAAATTCTGCCTCTACCTAAAAAAGCAAGGAGTTAAAAGGGGGGAGGGTGGCAGCAAATACAGGTAGGAAGTAATAAAAAAAAATAAAAAAAAAACAAACATAATATAACTCAAAAATTTCTGGGACAACCAGTATTTTTATGAGACAGAGGTTATTTTCCCCATGTTACCAGTAAGGAAAATAGACTCAGAGAGGAGAACAAAATGGTTCAAAGTCATACAGTTAAAAGTGTTAAAAGTTCACAACAGAATCTACATGTCCCAAAACTTAATATCATATTCAAATAACAAAGAAAAATTTTCAAATGAAAGAAACTATTAGTCACTACAGGGTTTATAATCTACTAGTGAAAGGAATCAGAGGATAGAAGGAGAGTCTCCTTCTTGGACCTGGCTGCTGACTCCACAGAAAAATCAATTCCTGACTGATTTATCTCCCACTCCCCAATTCCTTACAGGTCTTTGTAGCGCTTCTGGCGCTGAGCCTGAGCTCTCAGATCTTCCTCTTGGAGCTGCTTAGCCACCTGAAGGTCATGCTGGACCAAACGACTCCGCTGAATATTTGATGCCAAATGATGCTCAACTGGACAAAAAGATTGAGAAGAGGAAGTATAGTTCAATGGTTTGTTAAAAATAAACATCAGAATAAACTTAAAAAGAATGTTTCCATTAAAAAGAGGTCCACATTCATTATTTCATTTTATGCTTTCAATAATGCTGTATAGTAAGGCAGCACAACAATTATTCCCATCTTCCTGTTAAGTAAAAAGGGGATCAGAAATGTTAAGTAACTAGCCTTTGGTCAGATGCAAAAACAGTGGCAATGCCAAGAGTTCTACATAGATATTCTAAAATTAGGACCAATGCTTTTTCTTCTTTCCACGTTGGTCGCTCTATTTATAAACTACATTTTTCAATACTTAATTTTTATATTAACACATGAATTAATGATTCCCAAATTACATGTCCACAAATGCATAATTTTGTGTAACATATATAACTTAGAATCTGCAATTGGATCCTGCAATAGCCTTTAAAAATATATTCAGGACAGAAGAGCTCCCTATACCAGCAGCCTTCCATAGACATATATCCACTGTCTCCCTCCTATGACACTAAGCCACAGGAAAAGGTTCAAATTCCTCATTCCCCCATATATCCACCAGTTCTCTAATCCCTGGTAGCTGTCTTATTTCAAAATATTAAGATCTTAACACACTGCTGAGGGAAGCAGTGGGCGAGTCAGGAAAGGTCTGCCACACCATGTGGGTAGCTCCCTGGTTGGCTGGGGGATCAAACTCGTGCCGTTTCGCACTCTGTCTCTGGTGAATCCTCTCTCCCCCCACACCTCTGGCCTGTACCCCAGTTCTTGTATGCATAAATAAATAAATAAATCTTAAAAAAAAAGTAACAAGATCTTCATTCTTCACTCAGGTGTGAGTTGCCTAGACAAATCTCTCAGGATGGATAGATGGTTTCAGACTGGTAATTATGTTTTCTCCCAGCCTCACCCTGAAAAACTTGCCTCAAGCTACCTCTAAAGGAATAAAACTGAAGAAGCATTACTCACTCTCCTGTTCCTGCAGGCTGTGGGCCAGGGTGTGGTCCTCCAGGACAGCAAAATCTCGGCACACTGTAGAGGAAAACAAACAGGAAGGCTCATTACCAGTATTTTAACACAAAGAGAATTCTGTTAACTTCAAAGGTCAATTCTATTATTTTAGGATGATCAACTTTATAATCTGCAAGTAGAAAATAGTGACTAGTTAGTAGAAAGTGTTAATTCATTAAAAAAAAAAAATCACACTGTACCTGCCCAGTACCTAGTACAAGATGTCACTCAATATGGTTAGGCCTGGTTTCTGACCTAAGGATATAAACTACAGAAACAGAAGCCAGAGGTCTGGGAATTCCAACTCATTTCAAAGAAGAAAAGGCAAGTAATAATGCTGAAATAATAAAAGAGACAAGACTATTTTATGTATTACAGTGAGAGAAAGCTGAATTCTCCATAGTCAGAGGAGCTAAGAAAAAAAATCGAGCCCATGCCTTAGTCATCCGGAATTTAGAGACTCCTCTTCCACAGATCCTGGTGTCTTATTTATTTATTTATTTTTTTAGCTTTATCTTATTTTTTTTATGCATACAAGAGCTGAAGCATAGGTCAGATGTGTGATGGGTGAGAGGATTCACCAGAGACAGAGTCAAGAGCAGACAGGCAGACTGATATACACTGCTGAGGGAAGCAGAGGGCAACACAGGAGAGGTCTGCTGTGTCAATATGGGTTAGCTCCTTGGCCTGGGATCAAACTAGTGCTGCTCAGAGATCCTGGTGTCTTTAAGGCTGTAAGACATACCTTCATTAGTCCCTTCAATATGCCCAGGAGCAGCTCTCCACTTAAAGGAAAATCACATTTAAGAAAAGATCCACACCTTCAGACATGTTAGAACTGGGTCTCTAAGTCTTTCTAAATGTAGAATTGCCTAAAAAGAATCTGAAAACCAAAAGATAACAGCAAGCTTAGAGGATACCAGAAATCAGCCTCTAATTCTGCCTCCATCTGGAGATCCAGGCAGGAGCATTCGCAGATTTATTTTCTTAAGAAGCAAATGGGAAATGATAGTCCCCAAGACCCATTCTAACCCAAAGTGCAATTTAAACTCCTGCTTCTACTATAATCACTCTTAGGGGCTAGAAGAAGGAAATGGGAGAGTGACTGCTAATGAGTATGGGGTTTCTTTTAGGGGTGATGAAAATGTTTTAAACTTAAATATTACTATTGATGACTGAACAATGCTGTGAATATACTAAGAAACACTGAATTGTAAATTTTAAAGGGATGAATATTATGGTTTGAAACTTATAGCTCAATAAATCTGTTTTTTATGAAAGTAATGTTTAAAAAGTTACGTATGAATTAAATATATTTTTAATCCCCAACTGAAAACAAAAATTGAAACAGAAAAAAGTCTCCCCACCATCTATAAGGAAAGACTCATTTAGCCTTCTTATATTTTTATCCTTTAAGACAGAAAAAGACAAAGTAATTGAGATAGACTATGAGTAAAAACAAAAATGAAAATGTTCTGCTTCATAAATGTAAAAGAGAAAATATGTAAGAGGACAGTACACTATCAAAATGAACCATCAACAATTTTTTCAATAGCACCAAACTGCTGGGAATCTGGCAAGACCCATTAGTCATTTTCAGAAAATATTAGTAATGTAAGGCAGGATATCCTGGGACTTACTACTCTTTAAAATGCTTCATAATCTCTCTTGTTTAGCAAGAGAGATACCATCTGTACAAAGCTATGCATCATTAACTGCCATGCTGTTATAAATTACACAATTAAACAATTCTGCCCTATATAAAATATATATATATATAAATATAAAATAAACTGCTTCTTAAAACAAACATATACACATAACAATACATGAAAGACTCATCAGTGTTGTTTTGTGTTTACTTTAAGGAACTGTAGTTTAGTTCATACTTTCTTACTCTATTTCAAACATTTAACTCCCACTGAAAAAGAAAACTCCCCAAAGCCTCAGACTACAATGTGTAGGAATCATGAAACTGCCCCCCAGGTCCTACCAGAAATCATAGATTTCTTTCTCTAGCACTGGATTTGCCTGTGAGGACATTTCACGAAAATGAAATGAAGAAATAAATACTCCCTTGCCATTCTCTTTTTCCCCATTTTTTTTTAGTATTAATTTAAAAATTTATTTGATTATCTAGGGTTTAATTGCATTCTTTATTAGTTTAAAATACTGTATGTGATTTAGAGGTATAGGTTCACACCTTTTCAGATGTATGTTATCACTTCTCATCTACTATTAAAGCACCCATTATCCTTTGCCATTCTTAACACGTATGTGTGTTCACATGTAAGACGTAATTTACACAGTCCTGCCTCTCACTGAATAATCACACAAATAAGTAGGCAGATCTTGGAGAAATCAAGATCACTCTGATAGAGTCTTACAATGAAGAAGGGATCATTTCTTCCCAAGAACCATATTAAACTGAATATGACCTGCTTACCTCTTGCTCAAATGCAGCTGCAAAACCAGTGATTCCAATAGATAGTCCTATTTTTTTAACATCAGATATAGTCTCAATAAATTATACAGCTTGAGCCTCAGGTCCTAGTTACCCTATATTTCACAGAATTAAAGTACTTTCTAGATGAGCTAGGTGACCTGCTTGTTTAATAGAGAAAAATAAGGACTGGAAGGTCAAGAAAGAATTTATTAAGGCTATATATATATAGTTAGTGGTTGACAAACCTGGGATTCAATTTCTTTTTGTTGCTGTTGTTATTTCAACCCTTTATTTTATTCTAACACTGCTGATGTTTACCACATTTATGTTCAGATTACTAAAAGAATGTTTTAGATAGAAATATGGCAAACAAACTATATCTCTCCTTGTAGATAAAACTGCTAAAATTTTGATCTCTATTAGCTCAGGGCCATACAGTTGGTTTAAAATACACACAGAGACAGAATAGTTCCAATTAAGAGTTACACAAACTAAACTTTTCTTCTTCATCTTTAAATACTCATGGATAGCCAACACCCATGGTACATGGCACACAGTACCAACTAGAGTCAGGCTCACAGAAAATACTAGTGTAAGCAAGACAAGAAAGATGCTATTTGCTTCTCATTACATAAAAATCACTTGAATTTATCTAATCAACACTTTTATTTTAAATTTGTGACCAAAAGCACTATCATATTTGTTGGGTGCCATTCTTATTTGAATCATATTTAAAAAGTCTAGAAATAACTAAAAAATAAAAAGCTGCCTGAATGCTACGGCTGCCTATGGCTCTTGCTACAAAATAGTTGCCAGTCTGATATGAGTGTCTAAAAAAAAAAAAAAAATGACAGGAATTATCGGATTCTTTTTGATTTCAAGAGAACTTCCCAGAAGGAGATGGAGGGCCAACAAATACACCTGCCTGCTTGGTGGCAGCTCGTGTTCTGAGCCAGCAAGAGCTCCTTTCTTTCCTGACACCATGACAGCCCTTCTGGACACCAGGTAAACCATGGTGGGAATAGACTGAAAGGAATTATACTATAGTGACTAATACACACTCTCCAAAATGCTAGCTATGTGAGATTAACGAATTAATTGGTTAAAATATATAAGAAGATGGGCCTCCCCGGTGGCGCAGTGGTTGAGCGCTGGGTTGTGAAGCTGCCCGCAGCCGCAGCAGAGTCGGTTTGATCCCCGGCTGCTCCCCAACCACCGGAGGAGGGTCCCACATGGTGTGCATATCTCTCCTGCCGCCCGCTGCTCCCCTCAGCAGTGTGCTTCGGTCCTTCTGCCTGCTCTGCTCCCCGCTCTGGCTCTGGTGAATTCTCTCACCCTCCCGCGCTTCTGACTGTGCCTTGTGCTTGTATAAATGAATAAAACAAAATAAATCTTTTAAAAAATATATATATATAAATAAGAAGGCAAATGTTCAGAATGAATTAACTGGTAAAAATGAACAAAATCAAATCTCATACAAAAGAATACTATTTTAATATAGTGCCATTATATTGCAATTCAATATACTGTAGAACTTTTACTATCTATTACAATGTTTATGTTTATATACTAAAATCAGTATTAATTTTAATTTTTTAGATTAATGCTTTTCAAATCATGAATGGCAACCTAGTATTAGGCCAAAAAAATCAATTTATTAAGCATGGAACAAGCATTTAAAAATAAATAAGCTAGAAAATATAACATCACACATAGTACAGAAAAACTAATTTGGAGAACTTTCCAGTTACACACACATGTGAGTATATGATACTTGTTAGATAGCAATGTAAAATACTACAGGTACTACAATTGAGGATATTAAGGCAGAAAGTCATGCCAAAACTACTTATTCTATACATGTTTAATGTTCTCAATAAAAGAAAAACAAAATTATTGCAGTTATACATGTGAAAACCATATAAAAACTGCAATAATTTCACTGTTTAAAGTTTTAGTCAGTGCAACATCAAAATCATGTTTAGGTTCATATAAACCTGTAGTAAAACCATGTATTTTTAACATGTGGCACTAATACAAACTGAATTCAGAGTAATGGTCACCTCAGGAGAGAGAGAAGCAAAGGGGAAGGAGTCCTTACTTCTGTATGCTGTCCTACTGCTTTACAACAAAAGGGAGAAGACTGAAGCAAGTAAGGCAAAATATTAACATCTATTTAATTTGGGTGATTATTGGGTTTCTCTACTTACAGTGTTTTCTACAATGCTATATATTTATATATTGCATCTTAAATACCATAATATATTTAAATCAATGTCTTTTATTCCATCAATAGCATATTTAGCTAAAAGCCATAGACATGAAGACACATTTAATATCATAACAGGTGCAAAGATCTACCTCCATCCATTTCCATCAAAGAAAAAGATTTTTACTCATTGGTAAATTCCCCCAAATAAGCAAATGATATATTTGTACCTAGTAAACACATTTATTCAATGAACATTTGAATGTTCATTCAACTCTGGAATGAACTCATTCCAGAGTTCTATTTTAGGGTAAGTTCTTTAGAAGCCATCAGGGAAGAGGAACTCACAGAAAATTAAATAATCAT